GTCTCCTTCTTTGAAAAAATTCCGGCTTGTGTTTTTACCGTTTTATCATTGATTGCTTATTTCCGCTTTGATTTTTGTTTGGGTATTTTTGTCTTTTTAACACATTTCGTATGTGTCCTTTGAAACATGTGTCTCTCTATTTCTGATGTTCTCTCTTCTACAAACATGTGTCTCACATTCTTATTTAATTTTTTGGCTTTCTTCTAAGGGTGCGTTTGGTTACAGTGACAGAATGGTAATGGGAATGGTAATGAGAATTGTAATAGAATGGAATTGGAATGCGCTGGAATCATAAACTGATTCCATTATTTGATTGGAGTTATGGAATCAACACCTGAATGAGGATTATGCTGTTTGGTTGATAACGGAATGGAATTGAAAAAATTGTAATTTGACAAAAATACCCTTGATTAATAATCCTAAATAATTTAATATTTTAATTAATTAAAATAGTAAAAACATAATTTATTTATTGAAAAAAACTTTTTATTTGAAAGATAGTAATTTAAAAACTATATTTTAATTGTAAAAAAAATAATATTTGATATTTTTATGTAATAATAAATTATCACAAGCTTAAATATGATAACTTTTGACATCTACCATTATATGTTCCGTGAAAAATATAATTTTAACCCCTGTCAATACAATTTTTATGCAATATTGTCACACTATAGTTTCTTAATAATTAATGCATACATAAATTTTTAAAAAAAATCAACATCTCATCCCTTGTAAATAATATCACTAAGTCATAACATAATATCACTTAGTCAATAAAAATAAGCATAAAATCAACATCCACTTATGCCTGCAATTTTTGCCACGCTGCGGACATTGCCCTTGGCAATCTGGTTGGCTAAAAGAAGCATGACAGACATAACACAAGTTTACTCTTGAACGATTATATATATATATATATATAATCAATTGAACTACATAGTGTATACAATTGAGTGTATACAATAACGTTTATACAATAAAATTGAGAATTCAATTATCAAATTTCTCTCCTTTTGGACTACACAAAACCGAAATTGGGTGCAACAAATTCAGATAAATAATTAAATTCAGATTTGCCCGTGTCATGAATCTCCGTACGCCAACTACATATATAATTCCAAAATATAGTCATATGCCAAGTGACGCAAGTTCCTAATTAATACAATTTAATAAAGTGCAACATAATCCTAATTACTTATAATACCAAAAGAATCGGAGGCTCCTAAATATCACCGGCAAACAAAGCTCTAGCCCACTCATCTTTTTCATCATCAGGGATACTAAAAAAGTAAGAAACTAAATCATCATCTTTTATCATCATCCAAGCTACCTTATATCGTTCCATTGCGGTAATAGTTGTGGTCCTTTGTAGCTCATCCCTAATCCGGCTATGTTTTTCGGTCATGTCTTCACCGATAGCCCGACTTAAACGTTCACTTGCCTTTTCAATAACACCAGCAAGTAAAGCAGATGATCTTTCAATGGCTTCATAAGCCTCCGAGTCCTTTGTAGTCTTCCTTTTTCTTTTTGACGACCCTTGAGATTGAGCTTGAGTTTGAGAAATAGCCAATGCTTGTGAGAAAGACATTGACTGTGCTCCATCCACAAAGGTAGTATTGTGAATGTCATTGACAAAGTCCTCGTCAATATTAATATCGTCAGCTGCTTCTTTTTCAAGTTCCTTAATTACATCAGCAGCAGCCTCGGCACCCATACCTGTTGCACGATCTTTGCCGAAAACCATACACAAGTCCTCATAGTCGGGAAAAGCCTTGGTCTTAAACGGTAATGCTTCCTTGTGACTCTGAATTTTAATACAATGAAACATTAGCATAATCCTGTCCATACCTGCTTCGAAGTTCAGTCATGCCCCAGGACCATTTAAATTATATGTTGACATGGTATGCAAGTTAATAATATTGGACGTGCATAACAACATAACAATGTCCTTAACTATAAAATTGTGACGTGCATGCATGTAATGTCCTTTACCATAAAATTGTCATATCTTAAAAGAACTAAATTTTAAAAAAAAAGTACCTTAAGATATGCTTCCCATACCGGCTTCTCCGTTGTAACCGTTTTTCTATCCGGATCCCATCCGAAACCGTTACAATTAGGCCCAGTTAGCATTTCATGCACTATTTGAAAATTAGTCTTCAAAGTTTTCATTCTAGACTCTATGTGTGACCTAGCTAGTAAGTCACATCCCGGCAACCTACTATGTAACTTTTTCTCAAGCGCATGCAGATGTCCAGCCTTGAAGTTACCTTCTGCTTTATATGTTCCCTCGTTATGTAACTCCATTAAAGCTTCAATTAAAAATGTATCCTCATCTTCATTCCAAAACCGTTTATTTTGACCTGGACCTCTGGATTTGAAAGTGTTCATCCTAACAATAACAACGAATGATGTAACAAAGAACGAGTAAACTACTTTACTAGTAACAAACATACTTACTGTTTGGAACACATAAACCATTTGCCCTACGTAGAGCATCGCGTAATACTCTACCATCAGCTACAGATCCTTCCCATCCAAGCAACACATATACAAATTCCATATCTCGTGTGCCTACTCCTAAGACGTTTGTTGCAACAGCTCCATGTCGATTACAGTATTTAGGTCTCTCTGTCATAGGCACTCTCACCCTAATATAGGTTCCATCTAGTGCACCTAGGCAATTCTATAATATATAAAAGATATAATTACTAATTACACCATGGGTGCTACCCATTTTAAACATAACACAGAAATAGGTACGTTCCTTAAACCATTTCCACCTATCATCGGTTGAGTTATCTGCAATCGGCTTAGGTCTAACGAATAACACTCCATGAAGTCGAATGATTGAATGCAATACATTGTGAAAGTACTTACTAACCATTTATCCAGATCTCATAAAATGGAAATTTATAACTCTATTTTTCTCATGGTGAGCAATGGTATGTAAAAACATAGCCACTTGCTCATCTACTTGCAAATACTTAGACGCTTTCAACCCACCCCTAGTTTCTAGCAATGTGCACAAATTAGTGAAGGCATTTCTATTCATCCTTAATTGATCTCTGCATATGACATCACTTGCGTAAGCTAGTTGATAAACATATTGCCTATGAACAAACACGTCGAGCACATAAAGTTGTCTCTGTAGTTGTATTGGTTCTATATCCTCCATCACCACTATTTCCATCAATTCAAAGAACCATTGCACTACATGCATAATATTCAACCAATGTAAAAGCAAAGCCACTATCTTCCTCTTTCTCAGACTTTCACTTTTGACTAATCCTAAGCGAGCCATTATCCTACAATAAAACAACCAAAGCGAGCCATTTAAACGCACACTCATGAGTTTAATTTAATAATAGCAATGAAGTGAACAATACATTGCTATAACAATTCCTATGGAAATACCATCAACAAGGTATGAAGTTGATATCCATATGCGAGAGGCTTCTAAATTGTAGCACCAATTATCACATTGTAGCACCAACTAACAATATGGAAAAAAGTATGCATATAAAAACAAAAGAGAAAGCGTGAATATATAAAAGCAAGGAAAGAAAGACTACCTGGAGCTTCGTAAGCCTTCTACGGATGGCCTCTTAGGATGGAGATCGAGAGGCAAGTATTTTTTCTCTTGATGAAAAGCCTAACCACCTTTCTGCAAAACCAATATTCAAAAATACACAAAACTGATATTCTGCAAAATAATCAATCCAAATTCAACCCAAAAAGACAATAACAAAATCACATTGCCGTTTTCCGAGTGGAAAGCCATCACAAATAACATGTATCACACCTCATTACAAAATTTTGAGTGATGAGGACCTTGGAGTTTTGGGGATTATGGTTTGCTAAGTAAATATGTAAAAGGCAGAAACATGTTTCGAAGCACATTCATTTTCCAAGTTTTCCTCCCTGTTTTCAGTTCCCAATCCGAAATCCACAAATCCAGAAATCGGACAGCCAAATCCGAAATGAAAATCGAACCAAAATCCAAAATCGAATCCACAAATCCAGAAATCGGAGAAAACGGCCAAATTTCAGCGAGCATGAAAACAAATAATCAACCGAGAAAAGGAAATAATCAAACAAATAATCAAAACAGCCAATATGTGAACCATTGCATTATCTCAAATTTCAGAAATCGGAGAAAACGACTCTACATAAGCAAGAAGATTCCGAAAAATCCAAAAACCAACCGAGAAAAGGAAAAGATTTCAAAAAATGAGAACGAAAATGAGAGAAGATTTCAAAAAATCAAAACAAACCCAGAACAGAGAGATCTCTAAGAACCACGAAGGAAGAAGAGGGAAGATTGTACCTGCAGTCGTTTCTCGTCGTCGGCGTCAACAGTCGATCGACCTTCCGTCCGTCAAGTGTCTGCGCTGGCCTCAATTGGAGTCGTGGTCGAGGGGAGATGCGGCTAGGACTCTTTTTCTTTTGATCGGGGACAAGGGGAGACGAAGGCCAAATTGGGTGAAAAAAATAAAATGGCTGAATGGAAAGGCCATTCAAGCCACCCCCCACTTGAATGAGGATTCACTCAAATTGAGTGAATCAGCTTTCCCACGGAAAGCCTTTCCTAGCCAAAATAAAGCAACCAAACAATGGAATTATCAAAATGATGTTTCCTTTCCATTCCATTCCTTCCGACCAAACATGCCCGTCTAAACCCAGCATAAACCCCTTACCTTCTGTGTTGCACCGTTAGAAGAGTAAAACAAGACGAGGCTTTCCTGTAAGAGCACGTAAAAGCCCAAGCCCAAAGCCCAGTCCGCTATCAATCCACTAAACGCCCACGAATTTATTTCAACTTCTTTTTTCTTCTCTTGTTTTTTTTTTTAATTGGATATAGAATAATTTCATTCACTGCAAAGCAAACTAAAATCACTGCTTGTAGTAATAGTGAGAAATTTATCGATTCTCTTTCGTGGAAAAGCAATGCAAAAAAAATTGCAATAATTAAAAAAATAGCGAAAAATCAAAAGTAAGGAAATAAAGAAAATTTCCATTAGAAATTTCGGATACACTGTAAACGGAGCTACATATTTGCACTGGGACCCAAAACAAAAGAAAGAAAATAATCCTAATAACATATCCAGATCTAAAGTTACAAAAACAAAAAAGTGCTAATTCTTTTTCTATATTATTCTCCTATTTTGAACCATTTAGGCGGCGGCCTTCTTGGGCGACTTAGCGGCTTTGGAAGCCTTCCCGCCATCTGCAGAAGCGCTGTGGGACTTCTTCGGAAGCAAAACAGGGTTGATGTTGGGAAGCACGCCGCCACTGGAAATCGTCACACTCTGCAGCAATTTCCCCAACTCATCGTCTTTCCTAACCGCCAACAATACGTGCCTGGGGTTTATTCTGTTCTTCTTGTTGCCGCGAGCGGCATTTCCGGCCAACTCCAAAACCTGCGATTTCAAATTCGCTACCTAATTGGATCATTTCCCAGGGGGAAGAAAAACGCAAACCGAAACCTAAAAACTAAAAGATTCAGATCTGGAATTTTTCAAATACCTCAGCGGCGAGATATTCAAGAACGGCGGAGAGGTAGATCGGAGCGCCGGTGCCGGTTCTCTGGGCGTAGCGGCCTTTCTTCAAGTAGCGGACGATACGGCCGACGGGGAACTGGAGACCGGCCTTGACGGACTTCGAGACGGCCTTCTTCCTCTCGCCTCGTCTGCCTCCGGCGTCCCTCCCGCTTCGTCTGCCTCCGGCGCCCGTGGTCTTTGTGGCATCCATTGATGGAGCTTTCGAGCTTTTCCGCTTTTCAGAAAGAAAAGAAGATTTGAATTGAAAGGAAGTATGTGTCAATCGCTCTGAGTTTTTCGAATATGATGTTTGGTGGGAAATTTGGGAAATGGAGAAGGCCTTTTATAGGGTGGTATGACACGCTGGCGATCCGGTTGTTTTGGTTTCAGCCAATGAGATTGCAGCATGATAAGTGAAGTTTAATGCGTACGGAGTAATTGCGAAGATGATCCGACGGACGGGGAGGCTTGACACGCTGGAAATCCGGGCCTCGTTCGCTTTAAATATTTTTTGCGTTGCCTTTTTTTTCTTTTGAGAAACCGCGGCGGTTTTCTTTTCCGAATAGCCACGTTGGCAATCTTTTGGATTTTTGTTTTTGGACGAAATTTGGATTTTTTAAGTAAATATTAGTACAAAGTAAATAAATTTAGGTAAATAACCATTATCAGAAGTAAAAATTTGTATGCCTAATAAATTTATTACTACGGCTGTTTACTCTAAATATTTTATAATATACTATTTACTTCAGTTAAAATGCTATTTAATTTTTTTTCTTTTTTTTACTTAATTTATGCTCTTTATTCAATAAAAATGTTATTTACTTTTTTCTCCATTTCTTAATTTTCAAAGAAATTTTTTTTCCCTTTTAGTAATTCTCACTTTGTCAACCTTGAATAGATAAGAAAGTTTTTTTTTCCCTTTAGTAATTCCCATGCACTTTAGGCTTCGTTCATTTCACCGATTCGAGTTTTTAGTTTTATGTTTCTACAGTAAAAAGTTCTCAAAAAATGTCACATTTAATTTTTTCTGCTACAGTGAAAACCTCTCAGAAAATGTCATATCTCAGCTCGAATTGAAAACTCGAATCCGCAAAATAAACGATGTCTAAAAGTAACGGTTTAATTGTTCTTGCTTTGTTAAATTTGGATAGAAAAACCTAAGCTCATCCGATGAGTAATTTATGTAGTTGTAAATATCATTTTTGACTAAATACGCCGAAAACTTAATGCAAGTTCTTAACTTTAAATTATGGTGGCCTCATTGGCTGCGGTGCTCAAGGGCCTTAAGTAAATTCGTTTAGAAAAATGGTAGAAGATAAGCCTACACTTAAAATTTATGTTTGTAAATAATCAATTTATTAATGTATAAAAAATAATACATCTTATTATGTTTTGAATTTATATTTTAAAATCTTAACTCATTTCTCTCTCCTCTGTTGTTCGTGGGTCTGCCGTTTTCTCTCTCTCATCATCAGCCGTTCTTTTTTCAGATCGTCGTCGTTGGAGATCACATATTACAAATTTTAAAGTTTAAAGCGATATAAGTATAATTATTATTATGGCTAAATCAGTTACTAGATTAAATTAACTTTTTTCTTTTAAAAAGGAAACTAGATTATTGATTATATTAACTTTACTAATATAATGTAAATCTAGGTTTTATCATCAGAATATAAGTTTTGTTTCTTCGTAAATTTTGGATTTACTCAGTAAATTCATAACTTTACTAATATATGATAAACATGTCTGCTCGTAAATCTAGCATTTACTGTACAGTAAATCTAAGATTTTTTGTTATTTGTAAATCATGGATTTATAGTATAAATCTAGGATTTACCATCACAACACAATTTTTATTCCTTCTTAAATTCTGAATTTACAGAGTAAATCTATGATTAAATCGAGAATTTATCATCAAAACACACATTGTGTTTATTCGTAAATCTTGAATTTAAAGTGTAAATCTAGGATTTACTGTTAATGGATTATATTAACTTTACAAATATAAGATAAACATTTTAATTATGCTCATAAATCTATGATTTACAATGTAAATTCATGATTTACCATTAGAACACAAATTGTGTTTCTCCGTAAATCTTGAATTTGTAGTATAAATATAAGATTTACCATCAAAACATAATTTATGTCCCTTCGTAATCTCATATTTACAGAGTAAATTTAGAACTTTACTAATATAAGATAAACATATTTCAGTTATGCTCGTAAATATAGAATTTATCGTCTAGGATTTACCATCAGAACACAGATTGTGTCATTCATAATCCTGAATTTCGAGTATAAATCTAAAATTTGCTAATAGAACACAATTGTTATTCCTTCGTAAATCTTGAATTTACGCGGTAAATTTAAGATTTACCATCATAACATATAGTTTGTTTATTCATAAATTCTAAATTTACAATGTAGAGAGCGAGGAGATAGAGAGAGACAGAGTAAATTTTAGGATTTAATTTTTTTTTTAATTAGGAGCATTTTTGGAATGTTAATTTAGCGTAAGCTCGGGTTTACACTCATTAAGGCTATTTACTTACTAATTATAAACCTTTTCTTACTTATTTTTATTGCAACATTTTTAATCAGGTAGTACATCCCTTAATCTCCCTTAATTTAGAGAAAAATACATGATTTACGATGTTTTTGTGCATGCCTATTATTTACATTGTAGCCTCTTATTTTATCTCTATTAATTGAATGTCAATTGTGTTATTTTTAAGTGGAATAGCATAACTAATAGCTTTTTACCACCTTGAGTGGATTTTTTTTGTATTTTTCCCCTTAATTTAAGAGGCCTTTTAAAAATTATTTGTACTTTTGAAACATATCTTTTATTTTCTAAACTGCAAGACTATTAAATGTAATTTTGTATTCAAAACTTGCTATGTTCAACAGATAATTTTGCTAATTCATTTTGTTTTTTTGGTGACAGTTGATTTTAAGTATAATCATATCTAATTTATTGTATTAATATCTTTTTCGAGGGAATTTATTTTATTAATATCATTTTCTATCACCACTTCATCATGATCCTCCTAATTCATTAAAATTTGATGTTTCGATTACTAAACTTTCACCTTATTTGGACATCTCTAAATGCTAGTTGGAAACCAGTATAGAACTCCTCTTTGGGATTCAATACAATTTTTTTATATTCTCTAGTTTTTTCCCCTTGTAAGTTTCTCGTACCTAGATTGGTATATTCAAAATTTCTTTTAGACATACACATTCTTAATTAGTCAAATAATTAAGGAATACGCATTTGTGAAATGTGATTGAGATAGCGTGTCAAGATGACGTTGAGGTCACATAGCTATACAAGGTCGAGGCCATGCATCAAGATAAGGTCGGGGTCTCACGTCAAGACGAGGTTGAGATTGCACACCAAGACAGGTTTTGATCACAAAGTATTCTCTCCATTGTTGTTTAAATAACTTAAAATAAACATTTTGCATTAAATGTAATTATTTATATAAAGTTTTCAGTTACTATGCAATTGAGGCTTGTGTTGACGGTGTTTTTTCGACAACTCGTAATTATCTCTCCAAAAATACTCGCGGTTCAATTAAAGATAAAAAACCGAAAAATAATGTAAGGAGACAGTTGTTTTTATAGTGATTCGGCAATAACTCCTTGCCTAATCCACTTGTGTATGCACTAATATCTCAGCCGATTACAAGCTTTCTCTAAATGGTATCTAACTCTTTTCTGGGTTCTTTTGGCTCTATTTATAGGCATTTACAAAACACTAAGCCTTCTCCGTTCTCAAGGAGGAAGCCATCTTCCATCCTCGATATGCGGGAAGGTAGGTGAGTTTTCATGATGACAATCTCAGGAAATGCGGCTAACCCCTCTCATCTGCCGCACGATCTACTGACTCCTGCAGTAGCCGTTGGATCGATGCGTCCTTCCCCGAGTTGACAAGACCGTTGACGGGTTTGACTCGGCGGGATGCCTCGACGCAGTGGCTCTCAGAGGTCGAGTCACTATCCTCGACGCCTCTCTCCGCGTGTGATCTCTCGACGCAGAGGGCACCTTAGCTACAGCCACTCCTTCGACGCCAGCGACCGATTCAGGACAGGGAGTCATCGGCGCCTGGCGTCGAGAGAGTGGTCGATTCCTCGACCATGGCGTAACAGCTTGATTATCCATGTGAACTCAAAAATTAATCTGTCAATGTTAATTGCCAACAGCTAAAACTACTGAAAAGTAAGTTCAATGATGGAAAAAAAAAAGAGTGGGGATCAAAGTGATATAATACTCATAATTCAAGGACAATGTTAATTATCTAAACATTTTGTTATGACCCTGTTTTTTGTTCACTTTCTAATACAAGAGTACTTCTTCAGACTTAGTTTCTAAATTGATCAATTGGAGTGTGATTGCAGACTTGACCAAACATTAAATTATCACCCATCAATTAGGCAGCTACCTCAAAATTGAAGTCTTCAGTTTGAACTCTCTCACCCTGAGTTATTTTATTTTATTTTTCTCATTTTGAGCTAGAATACATTTGGACTAGATGTCAATTTTCAACATGGATTGTTTTGCAATTTGAAGTTTTATAAAAAACAATGGATCTTCACAAATAACTTCTCAAGTAATAATATTACATGTCCACATGCAAAAACTATTAATATAAGGATTGGGAATGGAATTCAATCTCGTAATTTTAAGAATTTTGAAACCCTAGATTCAAAGTGCCTTTTTTTTTCAACCCTTGGTTTCATTAATTATTTCTAGAAATTATTGGACGTGTACGTGCACACACCTTCAGTGGAGATCACAAAATAGTGTGATCTTCTAATAAAATAATGCATAGGCAACATCTTTTGTGCATTTTATTATGAACACTGTAAACGTAAAATAAGGTCCCTAAAGTCTAGATTCTAGACGTAATTGTTCCTTAGGATGTGCCTGCATTATCCGGCGCATAAAAATCATAAACCTGATGATCGTATGGGAAAGAGCTAATGAGCTTCATTTGCATCCTCCTCAAATTAGCAGCAAACTCCACTGCTTGATTCATGGCTGCTCGAGCACCCGCCAAGGCCTCCTCAAGCTCTGTATGTGTCAAATAATAGCTGCATATTTGACCAAGGATTTGATCGTGCCTCTCCTGAAACTTTTCTGCTCTTTCTTCAGCCTGTTCTAATGCTTCATTTATGATCCTTAGTTTTTCTGTCGTGATCCGTTGTCTATGCCATCTCTTCGCATTAGGGGCGAAAAGAAAGAACGACGTTGAGAAGCCGATTATGGCAAAAAGTACACGACCAAAGTCCATGGAGATTGTGATTGTTGAGAGAGGAGGGAAAAAATTGTTTAAGGCCAGAAGAAAACGTGGGAGCAAAGCAGAAAGTTGGCACATGAAAAATACCTTCCTTTGGTTGGGGGGCGGCATTGAGCTACTTTTTGGCTGCTCTTCCTCTTCCTTGTCATTTGGGGGAAAATACATGAATTTCCTTGTCTTGTGAAATACTATTAAAATATACCTTGGACACATTTATATCATTAGTTTAGGATTCTATTACCAAAAAAAAAAAAGGAACAACAAAGAAAAAAGAAAACAAAAGAAAAGAAACCATTTCAATCCATCGGGAAAAAAATAAACTAAAGAAAATGATGAAATGTCCATGATTTGCTGCACTCTTGATGTTCTGATTCACGTTGCAGGTAAAGAATTTTGCTGACGGATCATCATTTTCAGGAAAAAATTATAGCGATCACTAATATAAAATTATGCTTTAAGAAAGTCAACTGCGCATCCGGGGAATCGAACCCCGGTCAGTACCGTGGGAGGGTACTATGATACCACTACACCAGATGCGCTTGATGCCTAGAATTTTCCAATTAATTAATTTAACTTTTTTTTTATGTTGAAGGAGAAGTGAAGAAATGTTCTTTTAATGAGGAGAAAGCTACGGAAAATAGGAAAGGAATTTGTAATTGTACGTATATATGAGCTTTCCAAATTTCCCAGGATTGTTTTGCTCAAAAAAAAAAAAAAAAAAAAAATCCCAGGAATGTTGATGTCTTCTGTCTCAAAACATAAATTGAAAGATTTGTTTTAACATCAAATCAATGATCAAGCAAATCAAGGTTATTTATTTATTTTTTTTTTTACTTATTTAAGTTGAGAAAAATCAAATTATGCAATGGCAAAGGCATCTGACGAATAGTAATCATTTCTTAGTTGCTCTTAAGGCCCGTTTAATTCACTGATTTAAATTTTTAATTCGAGTTAAGATGTATTTTTATGTGAGAATTTTTTATTGTAACAAAAAAGTTAGACGTAACTGTTTTTAAGAAATTTTTACTGTAATAAAACTCGAATAAGTAAAATGAACAAGGTCTTAGACCAAATACTTTGTGTTAAGCAACCCAACTTATGCAATGACAACAAAGGTTTCCTGACCAGTTTCCCACAGTGATTACTAGTGTACAGTACAATTAAAACCTAGCTCATTCAAAAAATTGATAATGGATCGAACTTAAACCTCATTTTTTCAACAATTTAGCTGTTATTCTACCCCTAACAGTTCTCACATCTGGACTACGGTTTCTTGGCTTTCTTTTCCCTAGCTTTCCCGATCTTTGCCCTCTTGTGCCCATTGGCTTTGGCTGCTTTGTTCGGGATTGCATTCTCTCTAAGCGCTGACGGCGAATCTCAGGATCAGCCCAGCCTTTTCCCCAATCTGAGAACCTTGAATAAGATTGGGACTTCGTCTCAGATAACTGCATATCTGCCTCAGGGTTAACATAAAAAGTTTGCTCTCCCTTTAACCGCAGAAACTCCAGACCAAGTTCTGTTGGCTCTGGGATCTTCAACTGAACATGGGTCTGCTTTAAAACAATGCATTAAGAAAAATGAGACCAGAATTGCAAGAGACTTCCCTAAACAGTAATATTGAATGTGATGGAATCAAGTAATCACAAGCAAAGCAACATTCTTCTCTTAAGGCAGAACATCAAGCTAACAGTTATTTAGTAATATTATTTTCTTTCAAATGTGAGCCTTTATTTATAACAAGGCATTTTCAGTCTTTTAGCTACAACTTTTTTTTTTTTTTTCCAAAGCACAAGACTTGGTTTTGTAGTATCGATTGTGTCAAGTAAAAGAGAATGAACATACTGACAACATGCATGTACTTGAACTAGCCAAGAGAAGGGGAAAGAAAAATTATACCTTGCCATCTCCTTCTCTGATTAACCCTTTACCTTCCATAATTCGTGCAAGACCTTGCCACCAGAGTACATCGGTTGCCGTAAATTTTTGAGACTGCGAAGGAATCACATGATGAATTGACAACAATTAAAAGCGTGACAATGAATTAAAACAGATGGCAGAATGGAGATATGAAAGGGAAAAAGAGATCTAAATACCTGCTCCCTTATTTTGCTGACAAACATCCTGAGGTTTGGCTTTTGCATGAATCTCTGTTGTGTACTAGTACCATCGTAGTATGATGTATCTATGCGAGTAATCCGTGCCTGTGGTCCAAGATATGCGCTTCGTCGGATGAAAAAGGAAAAGCATAATACATTTACAAGAAGAAAACCAAATGACCGTATCTATGAGCATTAAATACATTCAGCAGTTTTTTGAAATTTAATAATTTACATAGTTTGGCTATCTGCTTTTAGCTGCTTAAGATCAGAAAAGCATTTACAAGGCAGGTGTTTTCGTTTCCTTTTTCTTTCGTGGTGCAAAACAACAAGGAATGCAAGCAAAGCATAAAAGAATTAAAGAACACGGTATGTTTTGATATCAATAGAACTATTAATAGTATAAAGTTATCTGATAAAACGGACAACAAGGAATGCAAGCAAAGCATAAAAGAATTAAAGAACACGGTATGTTTTGATATCAATAGAACAATAGTATAAAGTTATTTGATAAAACGGCACATCTATGAGACTATGACAACAAAAATTTAGCCCCCGTTTGGTTCATTGATTCGAATTTAGTTGATTTGACTTTTTGATTTGAACTGTGTGGTTAAAAATTGTTGTTCGAATTGGCATTTGCATGTGCAGTTAAAATTTTAACCTGAATGGGGAATAAAATTCGAATTTGTTTGGTAGTGAAAAAGTAAAGAGAGTGGACATCTTTTTATTATTCAAAAATAGTTTGAATGATTGAACTTAAGGGGTAGCTAAACTTTAAGTTAGACAGTTTAACTCAGCTCAAGTGGGGAATATAATTCGGACTGCGTGCTTACCAAACAAGAATTCAAACTGTGCTCACCATTCAAACTTAGTTGAATTGAGCTAATCAAGTGAAACAAACGGGAGCTTAATCCTCCATACTATTTACCCTAAAAAGTTATTTACAAAAAAAAAAGAATATAATCATACTGCTTACATGATAGGCAGCAATAACCTGCATCAAGATATCTGCCTCCTCTTTCAAATTCTGCATTTCTGGAGGTCCATTAACACACACATCACACCTGCACAAAATGGGTTTCACTAAACGCAAAAGACGATGTTTCAACATGAAACAATGCCGACCACAACCCTTGTTTATGTAAGATACCGCAAAAAGATATCTTTGAAATTATGAGATTACAGATAGTATGCATTAACATTTTTTTAGAAGACATGAGAGAAGAATGTATCATTTGGTCTTTTGTTAGAAGGTACATCAGCCACATGAAGGTACAAACAGATAACTTCTCTTTTTACTTTTCAGATAGAACGTATTTAAGATTACACATAAAAGTGTTAAAGGCCATAAAACTAAATTTAGTATCAAAAGTGAACATAGGATAGAAAATCAAACGTACAAGAGACACTTCTCATCGGAGAATTTTTCTCCAAAGTACTCCACAAGTCTTTTAGCCCGACAGCACGAAGTATTCATCCCATACCTGCAAAGAAAGCAAAAATACTCATCCATATAAACATAATGTAGGTGTAATTTTCAGAGCAAAATAGCGTGCGACGGAAACATAAAGATGGGATAGAAATAAAGAAGACAAGAAGGAAAAGTCATTATAAAACCTGAAGCAATCCGACAACATCTTGTATGCTTGCCTTATCTGCTCCTCACTTCTTTTACTAGGCAAAAGTGATGGTACTCTTTTTAGGTTTGCAACCAGAACTGTTGAGAAAACCGTAACAGAGCTTTTGTTACATTTTATTCTGTATCAAATCTCCAGTGAAATTCAACTAAATTAGCACTAGCACCTTTCCCATGTCTAAAAACTTCACAATAGAGTAGTATTCCATGAAGCAAGATGAAAATATAGGATGAGAAAGGAGTCCAAGGAACAATCATGAACTTTCAAGTAGAATATCATATAACATGTGCATAAGTCCATAAATAAACAACGAGAAAGCATAATTGATTCAGTCTGCTAAGTTCGCACAAAAAAGATAAATCAACTTACTGCAATCTGCTAACTTTCCATCCCTTCCAGCACGACCAGCTTCTTGATAGTATGCTTCCAGACTCTGTATTACAACTAAAGGTTAAAAGAAGCTCATTACAATAATAGTCTAAAACTATAAACGCCAGGGAACAAAAAATGACAAACTAAAAGTGACACAAGTGGTTGCTTAGTAACAAAAATGGCCTCAAACAATTGAAAGAAATGCTAATAATTTTTTTAGAGGGAATAGAAAAATGGTGCAACACTGATTTACCATATAGCCATAAATATAAATGCACCAGGAATTAGAGATGGACACGATAAAACATCAAAGAAAATCCAACTTAAAATGAACACCTGTGGCCAACCATAGTGGATAATCCGTCGGACATTTAACTTGTCAATCCCCATTCCAAAAGCAATTGTTGCTACAATGACCTGCACGTCAGGGTAAAGGAAAACATCAAATGAGAAACTATAATCTCTATCTCCAAATTACAGTTCGACATTAAAAGAAAAATTAAGAAATTCAAGAAGTTAAATATCATAGGTTTATTTAAAAAAAAAAAATTTTTTGATACAAAAATTTCCATTGCTTGGGCATAATAGTTGGTAAATGTCTTTGATGGTAGAAAAAGATAATCTAAAGTGTAAAGAAAGAAGACAAAGAAGAAGAGAAAGACAGATGAACAATAAAGTTTAGACTGTCTAGCATCCTTGATTAAGTCTGAAATTCATACCTCTAGCGTGTTTTCATGAAACTCCTTGTGAACGTGCCTCAGATGTTGTTTTGGCAACTGGACGAATACGCTTGTAAATTAGTTGCATCCAAATAGATGACATACTTCAAGGATAGCATAGACTATTTTGCTTCAGAAAACAGTTTTTAGAGAATACTACTAGAAAGTATGTGCTGAATCAAATTTTATACGAATTGGAAAAACAGGGCCTATCACCCACCTTGGCATGAGGACATATTTAAATTTTTTGAAACTGCTTTAAAGATCCATTCAATCCCCAGCCAATTATATTCAACCCCAGAAATGGTTATGCAGCCAACATTTCTCAAGTAAATTCAAATATGCTCCTTACCAGTCTCATAAGATGACAGACATTTGGGCATTTATGACACGAATTCTTATTCAGATATGAAATTGGTTTAGTAAGTAATGCGAAGATCGCACATTGATTGTCACAGGACATGCGTATAACACCATCCATATAATCTAAAATGCTATTATATCTAACACATACCGTTGCATTATAAGCAGCAGCCTTCACACCACACCCACAAAGAAACTTGGAAATATTCAAAGTTTCTTTTCTTGTGGGAACGTATATAATAGTTGGTCCTTGTCCCAAGTTCTGATTAAGAAATTGATGTCTATCTTCCGGTCTATTTGGTGGATCCAATGTCTCAGATGGCCCAGTGATATTCCAGTCACAATGAGGAGATTCTGCACAGAACTCGCCGAAGGCAACTGCAGAAATAGACACAGAATATTAAAAAACACAATAATATCCAACAGTGAAAGCAGATTATGAAGGTTTTTTAATAACAAAACCAAATGATATAGAAAAAAGACAAATGCTAAATTGAGAACATCAATACCATCCCAATCGTCGACGCTTCGAAAGACATCAACCTCATTTTCCAAGTACTCAACCGACATTTCTTTTCCCTTTGAAATTCTAGAACCATGTTGCTTTGTTGGATAAACTCCATCATCACTTTCAGAGTATCCCTCCTCGACATCACTCAAATCATTTTCAGAAATAGCATCTACCTCTGATATGCTATCAGATGCAGTATTTGATTCTTGTAAGAAGATCATTTGTTTCTTTTCACCAGCTTTTCTTGTTCTTGCATATATGTTTATCAATTCTTGGAAATCCTTCTTATAAGAAGATGGCGAAGATGTTCTGCTATGTTTAACCTATAATACAGAAGCAACTATGGATGTTAGTAAACAGAGATAATATTAGAGGAAATGATGAAACATCAAGACACAGCAGTGTAAAAAAAAATTGTTAAAAGCTATTAGGAAATATAATAAGCCATCTATTTGAAAATTTCAAACTCTGGAACTATACAGAGAATAAAAATACTGAAATCAGGAAAGAAAAGAAAACGGGGTACTCACTGAAAACCTCAGGTTTGGCCGAAAAAACGAGGTAACTACAACCTTTGTTTCTTGTGACATGGACAATGACTTGAGAATATCTTCTCGAACCCGTACTGTGGCAGTAGCAGTTAATGCCATCACTGGTATATCAAACTTTAGGAATTTCAAACTGCTAGCACTAAAGTTTTCTCGCAGCACAGACAATTTCCTGAAACATATGAACACATGCAACAGATATTTGTGATAAAACTTCAGGGGACAGCAAAGACAACAGTAGGTATTTCGGTATTCATGTAGCATATGAATATGAATGACAAAGACAAGGGTAGTCTCAAGAAAAATGATGTTTTAGACATTCATATTAGTATGATACCAAGTGTAACACAAATCAAACAACTGACATGGTGCTGATGTCAAGAAATACGACAGGAAAAAAAAAACTTATGGAAACTGACAAACCTGTAGTCTGGTCGAAAATCATGACCCCACTTGGAAACACAATGGACTTCATCAATTGCAAATAGTGCAATTCCACAACTTTCTGCCAACCCCTGAAGTGGTTTGATCAGTCTGTTGCACAGCAGATTAACATCTTAAGTTGAAAAAAACTTGCGCGCACACAAATCATAAAACAAAGTGTTATAGATATCTTAACTTAAAACTGTCTCAGGGCAAACATATATTATGCTATACATGCCCCTCATTGCTTTCTTTTCTACAGTACTATCAGGCTGCCCAGATCCAAGAAAGCAAGCAGAGACCCCATGTTTTGCCAGTTTTAAGCACTGATCATGCATCAGGCTTATTAGCGGCGATATCACAACCACAACCTTTCCTGTCAACAATGCCGGAATCTGGAAACACAAAGACTTCCCTGCCAAAAGGTAATTGACCATAAGGACCTGCATTCCACCAAATACAATCATACAACAACAAGGAAGCAGAAACAAAGGCAAGCAGATAATATTTACCAGAACCCGTCGCGGCAAGAACAAGACAGTCTTGGTGAGCTAACCACGCCGTCAAGGCCTCTCTCTGAAAACCTTTCAAGGACAAATAACCAAACTGCTTTTGCAATAGACAGTTCACTTTCTGTTCCCAATCTGCCCCAATGTCTAGCTCATCTGAGCAATCAACTGGAATCAAATGCGATGATCTCTCGACGCAATAATTGTCGCCCAAATAAGGTTCTTTTCTTTGTTCCACAACCCCAGTCACAACTCTATTGGCTTTATTTATGGATTGGAAATGTTCCAATATGGTAGACTGCCTCTTTTGATCCGAAGACTTGATAATTTTTGCGGGATTTGTAGAAATACTACTACTAGTTGCGGTATGATTGTTTCTACGGCATCCATTCAACATAGATTCAACTGCATCATCAACTGATGGACCCACTACTTTCACTGCCTCAACAGCATTCGAATTCTCGAACCCCATTTCAGTCAATTTTGCAATGACTTGTTTTGAAGAGATATTATTATTGCCATTCATGGTTTGAAAATGTTATCTAAACAAAGAAAAACCAAGAAGAAACGCAAGTTAAGCTAGGAACTAGGACAGCATCAAGTGAACTCAACATACCTGAAATGACATGAAAAATGAATTATAATTGAAAATAAAGTAACGAAATTTGGTAAAGTAAGTGTTCTGATTTTCTTTTCTTACCATTTCTAAACAAAACAAAAAAAGCCCTTCAATTTTTCTTCAATAATAAAACGAAAAGGTATGGAAAAAACAAATCGATTTATTCTAAAATGAAAGGGTCAGTTCAGCTGGTGAAAATTTATATAAAAGATGAAATATTTGAAACCAAAAGTGTCGATTTATTATAATGTTGTCAGATATCAGGAAGCGAGGATTAACAACTACGAGAAATAATTCTGTACTTCCAAATACTTTGAAATCCAACAATCTCCAAATGAAAAAGAAAAGAAAAGAACGGAGAACACAATCGCGAATTTACAAGGAAAAAATCCAGAAAGACAAGAACTTGGGTTAGAGAGAGATCACAAACCTAATCGTAATTGTCGAATTGCCGGAAAAAAAAATGATGTAAATCGCATTCGCCAAAAGCTCAATCCCTCGGATTTCAGCCAAAACAGCGGCAGCGCGAAACTTGAAACAAAAATGAGGGAAGTCTTCTCCTCTCTTAAGAGATGGTTTGTCAGACGTATTATTCATATTATTTTAAATAATTAAGTGTTATTATTATTTTTTATAATGGCAATTGTATATTTTTAATGTGATATAAATAATATTTTTTATTAGGTATTTCGGATTTTTTTTTCCCTCGAATAGCAGATTACCATTTACCATGGCGTCATGTTGACAGGGCCCAAATAGCCCGTTTGAGCGTGGTGAATTTTAAAATTAAGAATTTGAATTATTTGTTAATGTTTTAAATTGTTCTTAATTTTTTTTTTGAAATATCAATTTGAATCATAAATTACAGTTTAAATTTTAAACAAGAGTTTAGATTGTTAAAATAAACAGGGACATAGATATTCTATATATTATCTAAATTTGTACTTGGTTATACTAGTTTCCAAAATGTTTTTTCATTCTTTTTTTTAGTGACCCTCTTAGATTATCATACATTCAGCAATGTGAAGGAATTTTATAACACAAATCTAAACATTTTTTTTTTTTTTACTTTTCTTAGCATCAATTTAAACAAGTTGATTTTGTTGGAATATTTTTATGTGGACTTTCATAATCATAATAATCCACTCTGTAATTAATTAAATCATCTTATGGACAACTGTGTGAATGTAAATTAACTCATGCATGTACATATAATATCAGTCCATAATGAGATGAACAATTTAGGCCCCATTCATTTCGCTGATTCGAGTTTAGAATTCCAGTTTTGCTACAGTAAAAAGTTCTCAGAAACAATCACATCTAACTTTTTTACTACAGTAAAAAGTACTCATATAAAATCACTTCTCAACTCGAATCAGCAAACTAAATGAGCTATTAATTTCTAATGTGTTTGAAGCTCTTAGATTTACTATCTCTAAATATTTAATCAGCCTATTGAGCTAAATTTCTTCTTTTTCCACCTTTTTGGTTGAGGCCCAACAAGGCCCAAATGTGGCAAAACAAAAACCATGGGGGGCAATTTTTGAGCCCCCCCTGCCGTTTATGTGTGGGTGTGTGGGTTGTTGGTGTACCCGTGGGAGTTGAGAGAGGCAGAGGAGACATAAGCGTTCAAAACCCTCCAAGTCCCTTTGATTTTATCAGCTTTAACTCCGGCCAATCAAGAATGGATTCTGGCCACCATAAATGACTTCGCTCTTATGCCAAGTGGATGAGGTAACCCTAAAATTATTAATTTACTATAGGCTTCAAAATCCAATTTGATAGTTTTATTTTTGCGTTCAATGGTATTGTTGATTTAATCTAAGTATTGGGAACCCATTAATTTTTAACAAATGGTATCAGAGCCTATTATTGGATTTGAGGCTGTAGTGTTCTTAAGCTTGCTATGCATGTTCGTGCACTTCATGGGTTTTAGTTTTTATGGGTTTTTGAGTGAAATTGATATTTGAAAACTAAAGAGAATGAAATTTAGAGCAAAACCCATCTAAGAACGTCAAGATTGGACAACCAGAACTTACTTTTCCAGCGGGTCGGGTCATGGATCCGATCGGACCCGATCTGCAATGTTTCAAAGGTTAGGGATGATCAAAACGACATGTCATTTTTCCATCCATGTGAAAAATGAAATGTCGTTTGCAAAGTTCACTGTTGTCTCAATAGTGAAACGGCATGTTGTTTCCATATGCCCTAAAACGACCTGTCGTTTGCAAGGCAAATTGGGGTTGTCCTGCTAGTGAAACGACATGTCATTTCCCACATGCCTCAAAACGACATGTCGTTTCTGCGAACACAAAAAAAATCCAAAAATTTAAATCCGTATTTTAGCTCAAGGAAACGTTATTTTGAGGTTACCCACTTCGAGTATAGCTTATGGGTGATGATTTCCTTGAGTTTCGTGGGTTGATTTGGCCGGATTCGAAGTTTGAAATGGCTGGTTTTGGGTTTTAATTTTTACCCATGATTTTGAGGGTTTATGGATCAAAAGAGGGTGAAATTTAGAGAAAAACCCCTTTTGAATCGTCAAAAATGGAGTTCCGGAGGCCAAGATATGACCGGGTCGGGTTACGGGTCTGTTCGGGTCATTTTTTACCCCGATGGAGGTTAGGGACAACAAAAACGACACTGTCTTTTGATTTTGGGTCAAAAATGACATGTCGTTTGATAAGTTAAGTTTTGTGTTGTTTTGACATAAACGACGTCGTTTTTCTATATGATCAAAATGACTTGTCGTTTCTAGGGACAAAAAAAATAGTTTTGACCAAATTTTGACCAGTCCGTACGAACATATCCAAAGTCTGGTTTGACCACCGTTTTGGCCGTTGCGCTCCGTTTTTCATTTCCTACCCAATTAAATGATTTATTTTGGGTTTGGGCCATCATAAAATCATGTTTTTAATATTTTTATATTATTTATTTTATATTTTTATGGGTGGCTAATTCTTACAATTTTCAGACAAATTTTTTATGGGCATTTCGTATACAATTTGTTTGATGATTAATGCCATAAAATTTTTATTATGTTGTTATTATTATATGGCATATTTAATTGTGAGAATTCGACAATAATGAATGTTTATGTACTCGCTTGTCGTGAGTCTAAACATGTCAAATTGTCTAGGTTATTATGTTATGGAGCTCTCCCACAAAATTTAACATTTTCTTTTAAAAAAGGGCATTGGGATACACACTCCTTGCATGGATGCACATGAGCTATCAGAAAATATTTTTATTTAAATATTTATTTATTGTAATGATTTTCATATATTTTATGGGTAGTTTTAATTCTCACTATTTTGAGACCTAAAATTTTAGGACATGTTTGTTACTCCATATTATATGGTCATATTTTATTTGTTCTCCCACATAGTTTGATATTTTGGTAAATAAAATTTATGACATATAATATGGATGTTTGTTCAAATTTTGAAATACCTATTTTGTATTCAACGTTTTAATGCCTAATTATTTGTAAAGGCATACATGGTCTCTTTTGTGTTAAAGTAAGAATGCAAATTTTAATCAGAAGCTCATGTACTGTTATAAAGCTTAAGATATAAGTTTATCCATAATTTATTTATTATTGCTATCATTATTATTTGATATCTTGTTTTATGTGAGTATCATATTTTTTTATTATGCTATCCAAGTGGGATAAAATTATAAACATTTTTTTTGGTGGATTAGCATAATCACTACTCACATATTATTATCAAATAATAAATTGTGGGATTCTATAGATAAACATAATTTGTTGATTATGTTCTGAAAGTCCATACGGGTAATAGAATTATCTTATCGATAATTTTATTGCTTGGTAGAACACTTGAGTCTTGTTGGAGCTTAAGCTTGTTGTGTTTATCCATGTATTTTCTTTACATATTATTATTTGACATTTTGTATTATATGAGTATTGTCGTCATTGATTATGCAGTCCAAGTAACAGAATATTGTGAATGATTATATATGGACTAGCATAATCACTAAACTCATATTATGGTCAAATAATATATTGGAGTGTTAAGAATAAAGGTATCTATTTACCATATTGCTAAGATCTATACGTGCAATTAAATTATCCTATCGATAATTAATTGTTTGGTATGATGCTTAGACCGGTGAAGGAAGTTTGTTGGATATCATGAACCGCATAATCTTTACTACCCTATCGGTGGTGGATTGATGCATTTGGTTGTGATGTTTGATGAATTGTCCTTACCTGTGAAAGAGTTCTATTCTTGCTCCACGGACTCTAGCACACAATGATCATATTAGCTTGGATCATTGGGAAGGCTAAGTAAAGGGCAAATTGCATGATTTTGTTTTACATGCCTATTGTTCGTCGCTCCTGTTATTTTCTTTAGCCTTGAGCAATCCTTGCCTCTCCGCTATCTTGACGTTAAATGGGACAAGCCATTATATATGGTATGAATCTCTTTATGAATCTGTTAGTGGTGAAATGGACATAGCCTTGAGAGTGGATGTGTTTCCTAGCTCCACTAATGTGTTAAGAAACTCTATGATGAGTGAGAGTGTATGGATAACACCGAGACAATAGTGTCTCAATTTTAGGATGAGATAGTCGCTAAAATTAGCTTTATGGAGAACGTTATTGATAAATGCATATTTGTAAGGTCAGCGGGAGCAGTTGCATGTTTCTATTTTTCATGTCGGTGACAACTTGCTTACGCCTGATGATTCTGACCTGTTGGTTGAGATGAATAGCATGTCACCTAGTCACTTTGATTTGAGAATCTTGAAAAAGCCTCTTATGTTCTAGGCATGTAGATTCTCTATGACAAGGATAAGTGCATTTTTTTGTCATCTCAGAGAACCTATATTATTCTTATTTTGAACAGGTTCAGTATGCATTCTTGTTCTCCTAGTAAACATTGTTAGTTAAAGTGACAAACTCTCAAAGGTGTAATGCCCTTATGGTGAAGTAAGAGAGATCAGATAAAATTGTCCCCTATGCTTACATGTTTAGCAGACTGATGTATGCTTAAGTATGCACAAGTCTTATTATTGTATTTGTTGTTGACGTGCAGATTTAGTACTTGAGTAATTGTTGTTATTATTACTGAATTAACTGGGAATGAAATACCAAATAGTTGTGTATCAGCAAACCAACACTTTTGTTGTAGTTAGATCTCGTGATGCCGATTATGCAGGCAGCATAAATGATAAAATGAGGAGCTACTTCATTGAATAGTGTCAAATAGACACTCGTAGCGTCCTTGACTGTGATCCAGAGTATGTGGCGTATCGTGAGGCTATTTGTGTGATGTGATTGTGAAACCTTGTTTCAGCATTAAAAGTAGTTGACTCCATTTCTCGACCGACTGAAACTGTGTTGTGAAAGTTCCATAATAGTACATTTCTCTTAGAACACTAGGAGCATTGTTCGCTCAAGCATAATGATGGTGTGTTCTATTTTTGTAAAGAGAAATTGTAAAAGGCCTCATTGTTATTGAAAACATGCCTATAAAAAACATGTTGGCAGTTCCACTAAAGGCTTACCTATTAGGTGTTTTAAGAACACGTATCCCACTCGGGACTGTGAGGAGCGTGTAGTTGTATTAAGTTAGTAGGAGTTTATAGCTATTTATGTGTGACATGTTGTTATTGATAAGGATTGCTTATGCCTCAAATAATACATGCATATTCATGGATCTGTCACTTTATGAGTGATGTTGTGTTGACACACTTTTTAGTTGCCAAAGTGACAAGTTGAAAAGAGACCGATCTATATATTAAAGTTGTCGTCATGTTTTGATGAATCTCTAGTGCCTGATTATGTATTATGATTGTATCATGTCGATACATTATTACGCATTATTGTTTTGGGCTTGTGTTTATTATGTGAGATTCTTAGTTGATGCTTATGATGTGATGAGTGAATGTTTGTTGTATGATTGTGCCGTCTAAGTAGGAAACTGTTGGAATATTTTTATATGGACTTCTATAATCATAATAATTCATTCTATAATTAATTAAAGCATCTTATGGACAACTGTGTTAATATAAATTAACACATATATGTACGTATAATATCGATCCCTAATGGGATGAACAATTTAATTACTAATGTGCTTAAGGCTCTTGGACTCACTCTCTCTAAATATTTGGTCAGCCCAAGACCAAATTTCCTCTTCCGACCTTTTTGGTTGAGGCCCAACAAGGCCCAAATGTGGCAAAACAAAAACTGTGGGGGGCAATTTTTGAGCCCCCCCTGCCGTGTATGTGTGGGTGTGTGGGTTGTTGGTGTTCCCGTGGGAGTTGAGAGAGGCAGAGGAGAGAGAAGCATTCAAAACCCTCTAAGCCCCTTTGATTTTATCATTGAAGCTTGAACTCCGGCCGATCAAGAACGGATTCCGGCCACCATAAACGACGCCGTTCTTACGCCAAGTGGATGAGGTAACCCTAAAACCATTAATTTACTAGATACTTCAAAATCCAATTTGATAGTTTTATTTTTAGGTTCAATGATATTGTTGTTTTAATCTGAGTATTGGGAACCCATTAATTTCCAACAGATTTACTATACACTACGTCACACTACATTTTGAAATCTTTAAACAAAGAATTGCTCCATGTAGTGCATAATAAACTAACTTACTAGAATTGCCCAGTGCTATTAACGTGACAAAAAAAATCTATACCTCTTTTTATAAAGATTTCACTCTCTCTTAAAACGAAAAAAAAAAAAAAAAATTGTTCAAAATGGTATTGTAAATTTCAATCACATTGCTGAATGTTGAATATAAGAGTGTCACTTAAGAAAAGAAAAAAAATCTAAGAGCTTTGTCTGTGGTACAATCCAACACAAATTTGGACTGTATTGGCCATTTAAAAAAAATTAAATCAGAAAAGTTAAAACAAATGATACTTTAATCTGGTTTGGAAAACACATGGGATAGTTTTTAGATTTTAAAAAACTCAAAGATAAAAATTGTATTTAGGTAAAACTGAAGGGAATACTTTATTTTCAATTTCATTTGTATTCCTACATACTTTTTTTTACAATCCTCTAAACTATATTTTGTCAAAGATGACCTTCACAAATACAAATTTTTTTTTTTTTATAATTGCCCCATTGAGATAATATTTCTCAAATATGTCATTTAAGTATCTTTATGTTTCTTATATGTACCCTAATTTGTTTTATATTTGATTTTTTTCTCGAAATTCTCGCTTTGATCCTTCTTACTTTGGTTTTTTCTGTTTCTCCCAAAACTCTCCTATTTTAAATTTGTTTCCTTGAACTCCCTTTTTCTTCTATTTTATTCCTATAAAACTAAATTTTTTCCAAACACGTCCTTACTTCTTTTTTTGTTAAAAAATCCTCTTAAATATTATCTTCTTAAACGAGACATTCGTTAATTTTTTTAATTATCCCAAAAGGCAAAATGAAATAATTTTTCTCGGAAGTGTCCCTATTTAAACATGTTTTTCCTTCTCATACCCCTAAATAGTGTTTTATTGATTTGTTTTAATCTATCTGTATATATATATATATATATATATATAGATATATATATAGTACTCGATTGAAATACACATTTTGATTTAAATGTACACTTTCGTACATCTATTCTTTTTTAAATCTTTTTCGTATATATACCTCATTGAATTTTTTTTCCTTATAACATGCCTATCAAAATAACTTTCTTAATGCGCCTCCTACTTGAGTATTTTATCTTGCAGTTTTTTAAAATATTTTATTTTTCAAATGCGTCTCTTATAAATACTTATCATACTTATGTCCTTTTCTTGGATCCATAAGTAATTTTT